TATTAGGCGAGATGCTGAAGGATGGTATCTTTGTAAGGAGGCTGCCAGTCTAACCTAATGGGCAATCTCATGTGCTTCGCAGGAAACCAGACCTGCCTTCCAGCTCTGTAACTTTTTAATTCTAAGATCTCATGTTTGTTGGTATAACTAATTGCTTCTTCGGTTTTAAAAAAAAAGTTAGGTATTGCATGGGACAGTAAATGAATTACCACAGGGGCAGTTTCTGGCAAGCAGTTAGCATCTAATCAGTAGTAGTTATTATTGTAACCCTAACACTGTCAGAGAAATGGGGGCTTGGCCCTGGGGCCATCTCTGACTCCCTTAAATCAGGAACAGGCCTGGAATAAGAATCCATGCCACCCATGTTTCTCTGTCTCTCTTCCTACAGTCATCTGTTCTGTCTCCGTTCCCCAGGCTCCACCAGACTCAGCCTGGTGACATCAGGTGCTTATTTCCCCTTGAGATTCTTCCACCCAAAGAATCTTGTAACACTAGACCTTGGGGATCACCCAGTACAACTCCCTCTCCTCATTGTTCAGGCCAGAAAATGGAAGCCTAGAGAGAAATGTGAAGTGCTCAAGGTCACCCAGGAAGGCAGAAATCATTACTTGGAATGGCTGTTGCATTTATTCCAGCAGGTCCTACTAAGCCTGGGAGTGTCTGCCTGAATTCTCCTGGGTGTTTATCACTGGGATAACTATTTCAGTTGTGGTGCTGGCGAGTTCTGTGATTCCCCTGGCATCAAAATTATTAGTAGCTAACATTTGCGCAGTGCTTTACAGCTTATAAAGTATACACTCCTATACTTGATCTTTTTTAGCCCTTGAAACAGTCTTTCCAGGTAGTGTGACAATGATCACCATTCTTTTACAGATCGGAAAACTGAGGCTGACAGCGATTTGTTCCAATTTCCACAAGGCAGATTTAGGAATTGAGCTTATATCTGTGTGATTTTTTTTTTTTTATATCTGTGTGATTTTTAATGACTGCAGATTGATCCAGCAGACATGGACATCTTTGGAGAATTCACTGTTGGGGAGATAGCTGAGGTGCTCAGGGCTGACTGCCAAGAACATCCACCTGCATGGAGAAGACAAACTCTCAAAGCAATTGGGTGCTCCAAGTAAAGGGGCTGATCATGTTGCCTCTAGTGATAAAGCTTTGTCACTTTCAAAGTGTCCCCATATTATCTCATGAGAGGCCCAAGGCAGACCTATCATTCTCTGTTCAATAAAAAACCCAGAGAGTTGAGCCAGTTGTTGAAAATTGCAAAGCCAATTAGTGATGGAGCTGAGACTGGAGTCCACTGTTTTTAAATTCAAAAATCTCAACTTTTCTTTAGGGTAGATGGGTGGGCCCCTGGTCTTTAGAGGTGAGCAAAGGTCAAGCAAAGGTCAAGGTGAGCAAACTTCTTTGTTGGGAGGACACCCAGTGTTTGCCAGGTGGTTCTCTTTTGAGCTATATTTCTGAGCTCTGCCAGCGGAAAGCCATGGCTCCTCAGTCTGGGACCCAGTCTTCCAGTCAGCTTTCTTCTCGACATTGTTGCTCAGGGAGAGGCGATAAAGCATTTAAATTGGTTCCTGGTTTTAACAGGATTCTTTTATCTGCAGATGCCAAATGTGTACTTCCTTTTACAACTCAGTGGGAAGGTAAAGATTACTCAAAAAAATCCTAGGCTTCTAGAATTGGAAGACACCTCTGGGATGCTGAGAGTTGGCCTAGCTGGCCTAGTTGGGCCCTAGTGGAGTGACTAAAAAAGGTTGGGGAGATACCTTCACTAATTACTCTGGGAGGAAAGACTTCCACTTGCAACAGGACAGGTTGGATGGTCTCAGAGGGAGATTGGCAAAAAGGCCCTAACTGCACCCCAGTTTTATAGTTTGTAGAACCTCCAAGTCCTATTTCCCTTTCGACTCCAGAAAAAAGGCAGGGCAAAATATAAACCTAGTGTTTAATCTTAGTTTCCCTGAATCTGATTTCCAGATCCACAGGGGGGAAATTTTCATTATAACACATTAAAAACTCAAGTCCACTTCTGATAAATGTGTAAGGCGCTTCTTGGCAAGGACTCAGTGGAACATGGAGGATATATGTTTAACAAGTTGTGATATACAGTTGTGCCAACTTCATATTCCGACCATATTCAATTGATTAAAAATCACCCATGTCCAATCATAAGAAAGTCATCTGTTCTTCCTTAAGATTAATGTTCTCATTAAAACCTACTAAAAATATTTTAAATTAATGAAACATTTGATATTTTTTAATGGTTCTATTGGTTCTCTATTGTATCAATGAAGGAATCTGTGATTGCACACATCTTTGGGAACATTCTGATCTAGCACCCACGATTGGGACACTATGTGTTATTATCCCAGGCTTAGTAGAGAAGCAGAAGACAGGATTCTTTACAATAAGGTGCTTGCCATTTAAAAAGAAAATTAGACACTATAATTTAAAAAGATACTCAGGCACAACTTTTCAGGACCTCTTACAAATATTTGAGGGTATATTATATGCCAGGTGTGTCCCCCGCCCCTACCCCAGGTGTTGTTTTAAGCTCAGGGAATACAGTGATAAGACAAGGAAGGTCTTTGCCTTTGAGAGCCACTCCTTAGAACGCTGCAGCCTGCTTCCCGGACTATGCTCATCTGACTTTCCCCCACTGTCATGGTTGCTTTCCCCACCATGAACTGGATATTACCCCCATTCTCTGTTGGTAAACTCCTACCCCTGCCTCAAGACCCATATCAGATATCCCCTTCTCCAGAGGTCATCCCTAAACCTCACAGGCAGAATGAATCTCTTACTCCTGGGAGGCCCTCAGCAAACCTGCAATACAACTACAATACAGCTCTCCTTACCTCTTACTTCTTGATGTGTCCTCTCTCTCTCCTCCTCCTCCCTCCTCTAGACCACATGGCCCATGAACTTCCCACAGACAAGGACCACACTCATTCATGTTAGCCTTTGCAGCTCTCACCACAGCCTGGCTCATAGGGTAGGTGGGCAGACCACTGTTATTAGAGTTGGCAGAGACCTCCTGGATGTCACGTGGCTCTGGTTCATGGCCAGATTGTGCATCTCCAGGCCACAACTTGTGTGCTAGCAGCTGCGATGTTGGAAGTAGGAGCTGCCTGCCAATACTGGTGACAAGCCACTCATGAATTCCATTTTGTCCAATAAGTACTTACTGAGAAGTAATTCAAGTATGAAAAAGAACCCAGCTACTGTTACTAGGAAACCTGGCACATGTGCCAGGCACTTTACATGCATGATCTCACTTACCCTATGTCACAGCTTAGAAACATGCTATTTATCTCCTTTACTCAGGTGGAGAAAGAGACCTCAAAGGCTAATTAGGGTAAGGGTACCCATCACCCATGGTGGTCTGACTGCCAAGTATATTTGCTATGTCCTACTCCAATACAACACAAGGGTTAAACATATCTCTTGAGAGGTGAAAACAAAGGTTGATGCAGTCTTAGGGAATGCATATGGAGGGTGCTAAACAGAGATCTGGTCATTGAATGAACTGGAAATAAAAACTGAACACAAAGAAAGTTCTTAAGAGGGACTTCTTGGTCCTAGAGAAGATGCATCAGTGTCAGAAAGGCAAACACTGAAGGGGTGGGGAGCCTCAGGTGTCCCACTTGGGGGTCCCGCAGGAGGTTCTCTAGCCTTTACACACGTTTTTTCCTTTTGATGTGAGGAGGAGGAGAGAAGTCGTGCTCTTAAGTGACTCATCTTTCAAATGCAAGAGCAGAAAATGCCCCCTCCCCTCACTTCCTGCTAAAGCAGGGTGGAGAGGATCTGTGCCCCCACTCCTTAAAGCACAGGAGTGACCTTTATTTCCAGTTCCCATTGCTGGGGGTGGAGGGAAGGTGTCCTTTTCTCCCCCGACACTGAAGAAGAGGCCTTCCCCCCCCTCATGATAGAGGGTGTGTGCGTGCATGCGAGTGTGTGTGTGTGTGTGTGTTAGTCGGTGGTGGATTATTTCTTCCTCACCTGGGGGTTGGGGAGATGTCACTTTTCTCCCAGCTTGGGGAAAGAAGGTGGTTCTGCCTATCTTACTACAGGTCGTGCGTGTGTGTGCGTGCGTGTGTGTGCGTGTGTGTGTGTGTGTATGCGCACACGCGGAGGTGTGTGTGGTGATGGCTCCTTTCTCACCTCATGTCATGGTAGGGAGATTGACACCTCTCTTCCCTCCAAAGGAAATGGGCACGGTTTCCTTAGCCTCTGTCTGGGGTGGGTCATGGCTCTCATCTCCCCACCCGAAAGGGCGGCGGGGGCTCTCGGCTTTCCCCCAATTCTCGAGGACCAGTAGTGGTTTCTTCCCACCTAGCACCGCTCGGGTCCCGAGAGGCCGGGGTCCCCGTGCCCCCGCGCACCTGCGCCGAGGCCCCCAGCCGCCCCC